AGTCAGCTTAACTTGATGATACTGAGGCATTGAGCTTAAGCTAGGAAGATAATAATTTACTCATTTGAAGCCTCTAGTTGGTGCTTAGATGATAAGCATGACTTTAATGAGGATTGAATTTCATTTTATTCAACATTTTAATTATTACAAATCTACCCTAAGGATTGGATTTAAGGGCTTAGTAGTGAGCTAGGCTTGATATTTAAACTTGTTTAATGAAGTTTAGGCCAGATGAACATGATTAATTATTGAATACCTTTGAATACTACAAGCCCAACTTTAATGGTGAGTACAAGATCCTTAATGATTTAAGCTTGCTCTTAGGGGCCCCACTTACGTAACTCTTGAATAAAAACATCAAGTGAATGCTGAGTACCCCGCTCATGGAATAATTAAAATATTAAGGTTCATTGAACAAATGGTGTATTAATTTATTGAACTTAATTTAATCTCGGATGATTAATTAAACAACATAATAAGTTCAAACGAATGCGAAACATTTCAAAGGGTGATGCGAATTGCTCCTCGAACACTTTTATGACCATTTGGATATTTTGAAGGACAGCTTAATTTATTATTCGTTACTCAAGAAAATCATCCATTAAAATCTTTACAAATCCACCAAGTTATGCTTCGGGGCCCGATAATTCACCTAAATCGATAGAAATACCTTACACTACTTATCCTACGTTAATCGACCCAATGCTCAAGAATTTGAGTCTTCCCTAAGGTATTTAGATCCTTGTGAGTAACTGAGAATATTTTGATTTTACCACATATGGATTATCAGGCTTATGTAAGTTTGACGTATAGTTGGTTAGGGTAATAAAAATACATTTAAAATAAAAATTCAATTTTTAATTATTTATATTTAGAATAATATCTCCTGCCTCAAGGACCTTTGACAAAAAGAAGAGGATAAGGACTGATGATATTGTTCGACGAATCTTGAGGAGATGATTGTCCTCGATACGCTTGGGTTGTTTTGTAGTCCTAACTCGATTAAAAATAATTAACCTGTGGACTACACTACTTTGCAAAATATTTACAAAAATAAAGTTCCTTTGCATGATAAAAATAAATTTTATATGCATGAAAATTGAATTCAAATGAGAATTTACAAATGTCCATAGTTAATCACTTTGATCAAGGTTAGAACAAACCTTTGTAGATTATCGGCTGGTAGCTCTCACTTAAGGTTGGGAAGTACACAGTTCAGCTCTGAGCCCCCACCTTTACAAATGTCTTACACTTAGTCCTGGTCTTTCATATGTGACTAAGAGTTTTCTTTTACTCGCTTGTGTTTTGCTATGACCCATCTTTTTGAATTTTTCAATAATGGATGCTCATGTTTACTTTCTTACAATATATTTAAATTTCCTGCAAATATATCCTGCTTTATGATGCTAACTGTGCAGCGGTAGCAGTAGCCTAGGTACACATTTATTTTATGCAATGCAAATTTATTTATTTACTTTATATCACTTTATTACCTGCATTTATTTCTCTTATATGCAAAAATTTTTCAAAACTGAAAATCATAAAAAAACTGTTTTCAAAATTTAAACAACATTTTTTAAAAGAAAGAAAATAAAAACAAAACATAACACGCTCTTTTGAATTTACGTGAGTCCCTCGGATGAGGTAACCCACGGTTGCTAATGAGATCTCTCCAATTTAATTGAGCTTAACAATTCATTTAGACCAAGTAAATTCAAGAGATAATAGTAATACCAGAATGAGGGAACCTTAGGATCATAACCGTTGTAACTTTAATCAACTTTAAATCCCATAATACTTAAACAACAATAAAACCAAAACACTTACACATATGGTAAAACCTTTTGAACCTTTAAATTTTAGGACTGCTACTTAGCCTAGGAGCTTAGAGCTGACTCCGTGGGCAAAATGACAAGAATGTACAAAAGAACAACTTCAAGAGATCAAGCGAATCTGCAACAACAATCTTTTCTTAGAATTAAAACAACAAACCATAGGATTTTGAAAATTGTTTTCCTAGTGCAACATAAATTCACACCTCATCTTTAGGCTTTTGCAGAAGCAATGTTGTGCAATTTAAGCCTTAACTCGCCTTAAATTCTGAGGTTGTCGTTTGTTACAATAGAAATCCTCCTATCTTTCAGGCTACTTTTATGATTACGTCTTGCAAATGTAAGCCCTAGTTAATAAAATTGACGGGATGAAACATCTAATAATATCTCTCTGAAATTGCAACCAAAAGATATGATAGCTTGGGAAGTTGTTGAGGTTCTCCTCAGAATCCGTGATTCCCTAATTTTCTTCCTTTGGATTCCATAATAAAAGTTCAAAACTTGAGCTTTGCCCATTTGATACCACTTTGTCCGACCTTGAAAAATCCTACCTTTTGAAATTCTTGACGACAATACTTTCTGATCTAAATCAAGAGTTTTCTTGGGTGACCTCTGTCATTTAAGATGTAATTAACTATAAAAGATCAACTATAAGAGATCGCCCTTATAGGAAACTTTAGAACCCAACTTAATATAAACTCTGTCTAATCTTTAGTTTATTTAATCGATAAGCATAAATGGTTTCGCAGACTAAAACAGATGTCATAAATTCTTTAATTTATTTAATCGAGCCTCACCAGAAAGTAATGTGCCTATTCCTCGGGATAGATGCATTGCTTGCAGTGTTGTGCTCATTTGTTTAAACTACTTTATGTATGAGATTGGTTCGGTCTCATATTTTAAAAATTAAACTATTACTTTCCAAAATTATAATATATAAATTAAATTAAAAATATACCTTCCCAATTTGATGACAGACACCACATGGGCTCAAATTTATGGAAACCATGAATCAAATTATACAATCCTCCTAAGATGTTGAGATCCTTATTTAGTTGCTTATTTAATTTCCAACTTACCTTATCAAAGAATAATCCAGAATCACTTACACCTAGACAGAGCTAATTGAGTATTGTTAGGACCCATAAATTTTCTCTTAATTCATGCACATCAATAAAGTATAAGTTTAGATTAATCTTGAAGGTTTAAGAAAAAATCAAGGTTGCTTGAAGGTAATTTGGATTGAATTTGTGCAATAAAATAAGTTTAACAATTTATAGGATTATCAATAGGAATGAATGGAGTACAATGATTTATGAGGGTCATATACATGTTTAAATTGATGTTGGTTTATTTCTTTGAACCTTTACGTGATTTTTAGGGTGGGATGTCAGCTAGTGGGGCTCATCCTAATCGATCTTTTAGACATGGTTCCTCCAGAGACACTATTGAGACTTGCTGACCGTTATGACAGGAAGGGGATCTACAAGCTTGATTTCCCCACCTGTCCATATGTTATATCTCCAAAAATAGCAACTTCTGTAATAACTGGTACATACAAGGGTTTCAATGAAATATTATTTCAGAATATTGACACTATAGTTCAGAGTTATCACCTAGATGGTTGCTCATTCTTTGTTGTGGGGTATGAAACAATTGCAATATCTCGGCTATACTTTACAGAAATAATGCAGTCATATTCAGAAAATTGGCTTAATGTACAAAAAAAATCTTACCAGGGTGTGGCATGCAACATGAAAATAGTAGGGGCACATAAAATAAATGGGATGGTGTGGCATGCAACATGATACAAGTGAGTAATTGTTTTTTGTTCCTGTTTTTAATGGTACTACTTTCAATGTTCATTTTCAAGTTCTATGCTTACCTCCAACTAGTTGTGTTTACTATAGTTAAGCTTTTAAGTGGATTCTCTCGCTTCTTTTAAGAACATACTAAGATTAATCCTATCATTTGACCAAGAGTTTCTCAGACTTGTATCATTTTGCTTTTGACATGTTTCAGCCGTCTTCATAGGTCAAATCATATAGTTTTTTGTTCTATTTTTTAGGATGATGAATTTGGTGCTTATGCATTGTTGTTTAACACTGTTAATTACTAATAGATAATCTTAACTTTCAATTTAAAGAGCGCCTTACAAAACTGCCTTTTTTTAGAAATAAAAAACATCCCTATTGCTATGAAATATTTATTGATAAAAAAAAAGCTTTTAGTGTGAAGTTTCAAGTTATCTTCTTCGATATTTAAAAGTACTTCCTTAGTAACCTTCAAATATTTATAAAAAATTGTCGTAACTAAAAGAAGGCTCTACAACATAAACTTCATGTTTAAATTTGCATAATGAATAAAAGAAATTTTCAGAGCACCAAGTGGGTTGGTTGAAATACAGGAATGCTTCGGGCCTTTTATGTGATAGAAAAGTACCGCTTAGACTGAAAGTAAAATTTTATAAAATGGTGGTGAGAGCTGCAATGCTCTATGGCGCTGAATGTTGGCCTTTAAAAGAGAAGCATAACACTAGGTTAAGTGTTGCCGAGATGAGAATGATTAGGTGGATGAGTGGCTTTACAGTTAGAGATTAAATGCGAAATGAATATATCCGTGATAGGGTTGGTGTAGCTTCTGTGACGGACAAAATTAGAAAAAGCCGTCTTAAATGGTTTGGTCACATTAAGGGTCGACCATCTGATGATCCGATTAGGAGAGCAAATGTTTTAGATTCAACTTATGTTAAGAAAGGCATAGGTAGTCCTAGGAAGACTTGGCCTTGTTGTATTAAAAATGATCTAAATTTATTAGAATTATAGGAAAATATGACACAATGAAGAAAAATGATTCTTGTAGCCTACCCCACGTTGCGGGATTAAAGCTTTGTTGTTGTGATCACAAATTTAATAAAAAAAAGACTGCTTATGAAACTTTAGTTTGTCATATAAAATAATAAAAAAAGACTTCATATGAAAGTTTAGCTAGTCATATAAAATATTTAAAATGGTCATATAATATTGTTTTATTAGCAAGTCTTATAATATATTATTTAGGGTCATAGAAATAGATATTATTTGTGAGTTTAATGTGAACATGTGTACTTTAAGAGAGTTTAAAAACTTATATATATAAGTGGCAAGAAAGAAGTGCAAAGCCGTGCAAAAGCAAAGAGGGTTGTAAGGTATGGTTGTATCAACTATATATTTTCCATTTTCATGCTTTCTATTGAAAATTAAATAACTAATAATGCTTGTTTCTTCCATGCATGTCAACAGGTAATTATCTTTGGGATTAGCATTAATTGAAGATCATGGCAACCCCAGCTCAAATTCCACCTAATAAATTTACATATATATGGTCGAATGCTTGGAACAACCAGCCTGATGGGTTTGTGTCTAGTTTCGTATACCATTTTATAGATATGTATAGGTGATATCTAATGTAAATAAGAAAAAGTTACTTTTTCTTTTATTTTCAGGTCAAAATATTATTCTGGGGGAAGCTACTTCTTTATTGGCCAACGCGGAAAGGTCCGAGAGCTTGGTCTTAACCCAAACAGCCCATATAAATTTTCCTATACATTCAAGTATAACCTAGATGATCCCATCCAAGTTACTCTACTTGTTAAGGGCAATGGTCTGTACACAACCAAG